TTTTTATATACCCTTTGTTGGCAATGACAGAGGTCAAACGTTTTCTGTAAGTCTTCACAAGGTTTTCACACACTGTTGCTGGTATTTTGGCTCATTCCTCCATGCAGATCTCCTCTAGAGCAGTAATGTTTTGGGGCTGTCGCTGGGCAACATGGATTTTCAACTCCCTCCAAAGATTTTCTATGGGGTTGAGATCTGGAGACTGGCTAGGGCACTCCAGGACCTTGAAATTCTTCTTACGAAGCCACTCCTTCGTTGCCCGGGTGGTGTGTTTGGGATCATTGTCATGCTGAAAGACCCAGCCACGTTTCATCTTCAATGCCCTTGCTGATGGAAGGAGGTTTTCACTCAAAATCTCACGATACATGGCCCCATTCATTTTTTCGTTTACACGGATCAGTTGTCCTGGTCCCTTTGCAGAAAAACAGCCCCAAAGCATGATGTTTCCACCCCCATGCTTCACAGTAGGTATGGTGTTCTTTGGATGCAACTCAGCATTCTTTCTCCTCCAAACATGACAAGTTGAGTTTTTACCAAAAAGTTCTATTTTGGTTTCATCTGACCATATGACATTCTCCCAATCCTCTTCTGGATCATCCAAATGCTCTCTAGCAAACTTCAGACGGGCCTGGACATGTACTGGCTTAAGCAGGGGGACACGTCTGGCACTGCAGGATTTGAGTCCCTGGCGGTGCAGTGTGTTACTGATGGTAGCCTTTGTTACTTTGGTCCCAGCTCTCTGCAGGTCATTCACTAGGTCCCTCCGTGTGGTTCTGGGATTTTTGCTCACAGTTCTTGTGATCATTTTGACCCCATGGGGTGAGATCTTGCGTGGAGCCCCATATCGAGGGAGATTATCAGTGGTCTTGTATGTCTTCTATTTTCTAATAATTGCTCCCACAGTTGATTTCTTCACACCAAGCTGCTTACCTATTGCAGATTCAGTCTTCCCAGCCTGGTGCAGGTCTACAATTTTGTTTCTGGTGTCCTTTGACAGCTCTTTGGTCTTGGCCATGGTGGAGTTTGGAGTGTGACTGTTTGAGGTTGTGGACTGGTGTCTTTTATACTGATAACGAGTTCAAACAGATACCATTAATACAGGTAACGTGTGGAGGACAGAGGAGCCTCTTAAATAAGAAGTTACAGGTCTGTGAGAGCCAGAAATCTTGCTTGTTTGTAGGTGACCAAATACTTATTTTACCGAGGAATTTACCAATTAATTCTTTAAAAATCCTACAATGTGATTTTCTGGATTTTTTTTCTCATTTTGTCTCTCATAGTTGAGGTATACCTATGATGAAAATTACAGGCCTCTCTCATCTTTTTAAGTGTGCACAATTGCACAATTGGTGGCTGACAATACTTTTTTGCCCCACTGTATATATACATACATACACACACAGAGAGAGAGAGAGAGAGAGAGAGAGAGAGAGTTGTTAATTGATTGATTCATTTTATAGAAGTCATACAAACAATTTTTGGAATTTTCAAATATTTACTCATAACTTTATACTTATTAATATGTAACCACACACACACACACACACACACACACACACACACATTAAATAAAATAAAAATTATTATAATGTTTTTATTTTTGCTAAAAAATAATAATAATAATAATAAATAAATAAATAACCTAAAGGCATTATTTGAAATAAATTAATACTAAATACATTAAATACAAAACAAATATGTATGGGTCAAATCATGTAAATGTTGCTGTTTAAGGTAAAAATTGCAGGTCACCGCAGTTTTTACAGTTCATTCATACGCTAATAATTGGCAAAGGAAAATTATTTAGTGAGACACGCGCTGGAAATGTAAACAGACAGTTACGTAGCAAAGTTAGAATCAAATAATGAAAAAATGTGGTGTGAGGAGCTCATGTTCAATGACGGAGAAGGAGGGGGTCAGTTTGACGTCAGGCAGGAGAAATCATCTCTATAAATAAGAGGGAAAGAAAGCTACAGATGGAAGTAAGTGAGCAGCAGTCCCAAGAGAGCACAAGTTAACCTTCATCTGTCCCGATATGCCGAATTCAAGCAGCTCCACATCTTCCACAAAGAGCCTCCGGAGAGCTGCGTCTGAACTCGAGCGCTCCGATTCCATTACGGTAAGAGTCTTCAGCTACATTCATTCCTCTTCAATAGCGTTAGAATTAAGAATAACAATAAAAACAAAGAATAATTTGACATCTGTCCTCCTCGTCAATTTCGGAATCTTTTATTATAATAAAATGAAAACGCTTTTACGCATTCAATTTAATGGGAGTTTCGTCATGAAAAAACAAAATACTGATTATGACTACATTAATTAATTAATACAGAAATGCAAATTAAATAATCCCAAAAGTAATTAAATATGCCACATTTAAAAATGTATGAATTTTATTGTTTTTGTTATATAAAACAATGACATAAGTATACAGATTTATACATTATGAATAAATATATACAAAATGAAAATAAAAACTACAGAATGGCGTTCATGAAGTTAGTTCTGCATTAATTTGCAGGTGCCACTTAGTTTGATATTACACTCTAAAAAAATGTTGGGATGTTTCAACCCAACTTTGGGTCAAATATGGACTAACCAAGCTGTTGGGTTACATTTTTTAATTACATTTTTAACCCAAAAGTTGGGTTAGTCCATATTTGACCCAAAGTTGGGTTGAAACAACCCAGCATTTTTTAGAGTGTATGTAATGCAATTAAATGCATACATTTGAGTAATATTTTGTGAAATAACTTATTATTAAAAATGGTGTAGCATTTTTTATCACTGTTTTGCTGTGCGTGAATGGACTCTCCATTGAGATTTACGCACAGTATTACGCGGTGATCAAAAGCTACGGAAAGCAGTCTATAAGTGGCTGTAACATCGGCTCATAAGCAAATGATTAAGTCTGAGCTATATGACAGGTTTACATAGACTGCATTGAAGTTCTTATGCGCTTTTGGAGATGTAAAACACCTCCATCTGATGTCCAGAAGGTAAGCAGGGCTATATTATTATTATTTCTGTTCTAGATGGATATTTAAAATGGATCGAAATGAATGTGTGGTCTTGAAACGAATCGCGCTCTTCTCTTCGAACAGTCGCAGAAGTTTGTGGGAAGGCGGCAGAGTTTGATCGAGGATGCGCGGAAGGAGCGCGAGGCGGCGGCCGCGGCGGCGGAGGCTGCGGGACTCAGCGAGCAGATCGTGTTTGAGGAGAGCGATGGAAAAGCTTTGCTCAGTCTCTTCTTCTCACTGAGGAGTTCAAAGAGCCCAGCGCTGTCCCGCACTCTCAAGGTTTTTGAGGTAAGCCAGGATTTCTTTGTGCAAAATATACTTTTAGACCAGATATCCTGAAGAAAATGGTAAAAGACTGATATTAGAAATAAGAATCCTTATGGGCTCTTATGTGAATTTGAATTTTTTTGACAACTACTTAGTTAATTTGAGATATAAAATAGTTATAGGCTACTGTAGGCTACATCATTTTTTCAGTTTAATATCAGACTAAATGTATTTTAAAAAGTATACTTTGCGAGTTAACTAGAAAACAGTTTTTGTCAGAAAAAAAAGAATGGTATATTTTAATGTCTTATTTAATGTCTAATCTAAAGTCTGAATATGTCGAAGAATAAATTTTTGTCTTCGTATATTTTCTAAAATGCATTTATGAATGTACTTATCTAAATATAAAGAAGAATATAATATGTTTTCTTCATATATGTTCTTAAGTAACATAAAATACAAAATAAATAAATAAATAAAAATCTACATCTAAAATGTATTTATTAATTTATAATGTACAATATTGTTCTAAATATGTGGAAGAACAGAAGAAAATGTTCTTGATATAGCCTATGTTCTTGAGTAACAACAAAATGAAAAAAATCGAATATATTATTTATTATGTATTTATAAATGTATTTATTAATTGCTAATTTATATTTATTAATATTAATATGTAGTATGGTCATATACCAATATATGTGTATTCTCACATTTATTTATATGTATGTAAATTGTTTATTTGAAAATCAAACGTCATAAATATTTTTTATATATATTGCACATTTGACAGTTCACCTTAAATAAAGAAAATCCTATCATTACAGTTCTCTCTGTCTGATGACATTACTACAATATGGTCATTTATTTTTTGTATTTTCTTTTGAATTTTATTCTGTTGTTCAACTACTGAACACCACAGACATTTGAAGCCAAGATCCATCATCTTGAGACCAGACCCAGCCGGAAACCAAAGGATGGTTTGGAGGATCTGGAGTATTATGTTCAGTGTGAGGTGCACCTGTCAGACGTCAGCACACTGGTCAGCTCTCTCAAGAAAAGCGCAGAGGATGTCAAAACCACTAAAGAGGTCAAATGTGAGTCTATTAAAGAAGAATGTTGCTCTGTTTTATCTCGTCCTTATCTGAATGTCAGTTATGCTAAGCTTTTGTACTTTTGTCTTTCTCCAGTTCATTGGTTTCCCAGAAAAATTGCTGAACTGGATAAATGTCATCATCTCGTCACCAAATTTGATCCGGATCTGGATCAGGATCATCCAGTAAGTGCTGGATTAGTTCTTCTCTACTAATAAAATAAAAATACACCTACATTTTGTCATGTATTTCTTTTTTAACTCATTCCCTCGCCAGTGCATTCCCCCGCAACCGCCAGCATTTTTTTTTATCATTTTCACAAAAATGTCATGGCTCCCAGAATTTTGTTGTACGAATATGTGAAAATGCAATTTGTCAAAATAAAAAACAGAGCCTCTGCTTTTAAACAATAAACCTAGCTTTATGCATTCTTATTTTATCAACATTTGAAGGTGGGTGAGTTTTCATAAAAAGGCAACATTTTGAATAAAAAGCTGATAAAATCAGATACAGACTGATGATCAAAACATAGATTGAGTAAATCACTTGCATCAACACTCCCAAAGCTTCACAGTCCTAAACCACTTCCTGAATCATCATTTCATTCGGTAACTTTAGGCAGGTTTGATTTATATGCTGTTTAATGTTTGCATTATTTTACATATGCATCTGCTGAAATACGCGATCACTTATTTCTGCTGCTTCTTTGCCGTGTTTTAATCCAGAGATTCAGTTCCGTATCTGTCGGTCACTACGAGTTATGTCGTGATCGACATTATGGGGATTCACTTGGGAGCCCCAATCATCTCTGACTTTAAGAGAAAACGGCAATAAAATTTGGCTAGTGGATTTTGCATACCTGAGCCACTCCCCGTACATATGGGTATAAATAGGTGACAGGTGCATCCACTCTTCAGCCTCACAGTCGTGCCCGCAAAACGCCGCCACTTGGAGGAATTTTCCTCGTCTCCCGTCCAAAGCTGTAAGCTGACAGCCGCTCTCGCTGCCGAAGCTTACAGTGCTGTGGGCCAAGCCACCTCTGCCCTAAATGCCATGGCTATCCTGCGAGTACACCAAGCCAGGGCATTTAAATGCACGAGGGTAGTACCAACCCGAGGTTGATGCAGGAGCTGCGCTTGGCAACTGACCTCGCCCGACGGAAGTCACAGCGTGGCCCCTCAGGAAGGCTATGTCCACACATGTGGCCCAAGAGCGCCATCTATGGCTCAGCCTTGCTGAGACGAGCGATGTCGACAAAGTGCACTTTCTTGATGCTCCCGTCTCCTAGGCTGGACTGCTCGGCAACGCCATCAAGGACTGTGCCCAGCAGTTCTCGACAGTACAGAAGCAGACCGAGGCCATCCAACACATCTTGCCCCGGCGTGATGCACCATCTGCCACCGCTCCGCCGTGGGCCAAGCCCCAGTCTGCTCGTCACCGTGGGCGCCCTCCTGCATCCTCCAGAGCCGCTCCGCCCCGTGCTGAAACAACATCAAGGCCAGCACGTTGAGCCTTTCGCAGGAGTGCGGTGCCCCCCATGTCCCATCTGGCCACTAAGTCGTCTAAGAAGTCGATGAAGCGGCCCTGACACGGGCAACCCAGAGATGTGGGAAGCTGCTCTTTCTCAGGAGATGGTGGAAACAGCGCCGCTCCTTTCCCTGGAGGAGAGCCGGGTGGAGAATCTTCAGTTTTTATTGGTTTCAGTTCCGCCGCTGGCTCAAGGGCAGAGATTAAGCAGGGGTATTTACAGCCCTTACTTCATCTTACCCAAAAAGGGCGGTGGCCTCCGGCCAATCCTGGATCTGCGAGTCTCGAATTGGACCCTTCTCAAGCTGCCTTTCAAGATGTTGACGCAGAAGCGCATCATCAGATGCCTCCAGTCCCAGGATTGGTTTGCAGCGGTCGACCTGAAGGATGCTTACTTTCATGTCTCGATGTGCCCTCGACAGAGGCAGTTCCTACGGTTTGCGCTCGAGGGTCAGGCATGGAAGCACAGGGTCCTCCCCTTCTGGCTGTCCCTGTCCCCCCGTGTCTTTATGAAGGTCATGGAGGGCGCCCTTGCCCCACTACGGGAAGTGGGCATCAGGATCCTCAACTATCTCGAGCATGGCCTGCATGAGAGAACAGTTGTGGGATCACAGGGACCTAGTGCTCCAGCACTCTGCCAGTTGGGGCTTCGGGTCAACTGGGAAAGATAATCTCTTTTTCCAGTATGGAGTTAGACTCGGTGAGTATGGTGGCACGTCTCGCCAATGAGTGTGCCCAGTCCGTGCTGAACTGCCTGAGTTCTCTTAGAGGCAGGACAGTGGTACCACTGAAACACTTTTAGAGACTCCTGGGGCATATGGCATCCGCAGCCACAGTCACGCCGCTCGGACACTCCTGAGCCCCGAGGTGGGCATGGCGCCACGGTACAGTTCGCGGGACCGTCACGCCAAGATGTTGCCGCTCATTCAGCCCCTGGACGGACCTTGTCTCTCTACGGGCCGGGATGCCCTTAGAACAAGTGTCTCGGCATGTCGTTGTCACGACGGATGCCCCCAGTACGGGCTGGTGTGCTACATACAACGGGCAGGCAGCCTCAGGGTTCTGGACAGGGCCTCGACTACTTTGGCACATCAACTGCCTCGAGTTGCTGGCAGTGCTACTAGCCTTGCGTCGGTGACGGCCACTGCTGCAAGACAAGCACGTGTTGGTCCACACGGACAACATTGCGGAGATTTCGTACATCAACCGGCAGGGAGGTCTATGTTCACGTCGCATGTCACAGCTTGCCCGACATCTCCTCCTATGGAGTCAGACGCGGCTCAAATCGCTGCATGCTGTCCACATTCCGGGGGAGCTCAGTCATGCAGCCGACCTCAGCACGGTGGCTCAGGTATGCAAAATCCACTAGCCAAATTTCATTGGCGTTTTCTCTTAAAGTCAGAGATGATTGGGGCTCCCAAGTGAATCCCCATAATGTCGATCACGACATAATGTCTCCGTTCCCTCCGTCAGGGAACGAGGGTTATGTACATAACCGAGACATCCTCTTTCATAAGATGTGTAATAGCGCCTCCTTCCATATAACAGTGAAAACACAAAAAGCTGGAAAATTCTGTCACTGGTGGGGAAAAAGAGAAACAGCCTCAAAAATTTTTTTTATAACAATCACTTTGGATATTTTTGGTTCATTTTACAGGGATTTACTGACCCCGTTTACAGAAAACGACGGAAGATGATTGGAGACATTGCCTTCAAATACAAACAGTATGTTGCAACCGTATTTACCATGCAGTATTTGCTTGTCTGGACATGTTGGCAGATATTTCATTGACAGCTATCTCTTTTTCCAGAGGAGAACCGATTCCCAGAGTGGAGTATATGGAAGAGGAGATCGAAACATGGTGCGTTGTACTAAAATAAACAAACAATCCTTGACGAAACCCAGCCAGAGATTCTCACACTGTGTTTTTCATTCAAGCTTCTCACATGCAACGTAATGTGTGTGCAGGTGTGAGGTTTACTCCACCCTCAGAGATCTGTACACCACCCATGCCTGTAGTGAACATTTAGAGGCTTTCCACTTACTGGAGAAACACTGTGGCTACAGTCCTGATAACATCCCTCAGCTGGAGGATGTGTCCCGCTTCTTAAAAGGTACCAATCCGATTATAGCACAGCTAGAAAACAGCACAACCCGTAAGTCATTCAAAATTCTATTTATTATAACAAATCATGTTTGTTACTAGAAATGTTATTCAGTACTGCCAGTAACAGAAAAGTAACAGAAAATAGTAGCAGTACAATAAAACCTCTCAGAACATTTGACAACCACCCAAAATACCTTAGCAACCACATATAACATCTTAGCAACCTCATACCCATGCCACAGCAACCACCCTTCAACTGTGTACCAACACCCTAGTAACAACCCAGAATATGCTAGCAACCACCTAGAACACCTTAGCAACCTTACAACCAATCCACAGCATCCACTCATCAACTACATACCAACACCCTAACAACCACCTAGAACACCTGATAGCCATGCCACAGCAACCACTCACCAACTTTTTCATGCAATAGTAATCGCTGAGAAAACCTACAAAACAATGTCAAACTAATCATTGAGAACACCCTAGCAACCACATACCAATACTCTGGAAACCACCCTGAATACCCAAACAACCACCTATAGCACCTTAGCGGACCTGAAAGCTATACCACAGCAACTCAGCAACTTCATCCTACAGTAACAAACTGGCAACCATACATAACACCTTAGCAACCAATGCCACAGCAACCACTCACCAACTTTTTCATGCAATAGTAATCGCTGAGAAAACCTGCAAAACAATGTCAAACTAATCATTGAGAACACCCTAGCAACCACATACCAATACTCTGGAAACCACCCTGAATACCCAAACAACCACCTATAGCACCTTAGCGGACCTGAAAGCTATACCACAGCAACTCAGCAACTTCATCCTACAGTAACAAACTGGCAACCATACATAACAACTCCATATCATGCACTAGCAACCACATTTTAATGCTGTAGCAACCACCTAGAACACCTGCATAGCAGTGTCATAGCAATCACCTAGAACACCCGAGCAACCACCCAGAACACCCTAGCAACCACTCAGAACACCATAGGAATGGTATAGCACTACCATAGTAACCACCTCAAAACACCAGCACAGCAACGTCATAGCAATCACCCTGGCAACTGCATAGCAACAGCTTGGCAACCATCTGGTAGTGAGTTGCTCTCTCTCTCTCTCTGTCCTGTATGAAGAGCGCACAGGGTTTCAGCTGCGTCCGGTGGCAGGTCTGCTCTCCGCTTTTGGCCAGTAACCTCATACCCATGCCACAGCAACCACCCTTCAACTGTGTACCAACACCCTAGTAACAACCCAGAATATGCTAGCAACCACCTAGAACACCTTAGCAACCTTACAACCAATCCACAGCATCCACTCATCAACTACATACCAACACCCTAACAACCACCTAGAACACCTGATAGCCATGCCACAGCAACCACTCACCAACTTTTTCATGCAATAGTAATCGCTGAGAAAACCTGCAAAACAATGTCAAACTAATCATTGAGAACACCCTAGCAACCACATACCAATACTCTGGAAACCACCCTGAATACCCAAACAACCACCTATAGCACCTTAGCGGACCTGAAAGCTATACCACAGCAACTCAGCAACTTCATCCTACAGTAACAAACTGGCAACCATACATAACACCTTAGCAACCACATATCATGCACTAGCAACCACATTTTAATGCTGTAGCAACCACCTAGAACACCTGCATAGCAGTGTCATAGCAATCACCTAGAACACCCGAGCAACCACCCAGAACACCCTAGCAACCACTCAGAACACCATAGGAATGGTATAGCACTACCATAGTAACCACCTCAAAACACCAGCATAGCAACGTCATAGCAATCACCCTGGCAACTGCATAGCAACAGCTTGGCAACCATCTGGTAGTGAGTTGCTCTCTCTCTCTCTCTCTGTCCTGTATGAAGAGCGCACAGGGTTTCAGCTGCGTCCGGTGGCAGGTCTGCTCTCCGCTCGGGATTTTTTGGCCAGTCTGGCGTTCCGTGTGTTCCAGTGCACACAATACATACGGCACGCTTCCTCCCCCATGCACTCGCCCGAACCGTAAGACACTTCCTGTCCCACTGTTTACATTTATGAAGACACTTCCTGTTTATTATGCATTTGATTTACATCCAGACATCTGCTTAGTACAGTGCATTCCGAAACACTGCAAACCACATAAAATGAAGGTCAATTAAAATAAAGGTGCTGATATATATATAAAATGCAATTATGAAATGATAATAATAAGTGCTGTAATGAAGAATATACACTTCGGAATACTTTTAAAAAGAGCACTTATTACAGGAGTAATATGCTTTAAAAAAGAATACTCAAGTGTGAACTGAATGTAATGTTTTTGAATATTTAATTGTGTTAATTGCAATTCAATGAAAACAAATTATAGCTTAAATTTATATCAAAATTTAATTAGCTTAACATTTTTTAGTAGAACTGAAGTTTTAAAATGATAAATAAGTACTTTACGTGTGAATTTAGTATGTAAGTATCAAAATAAGTGTACTTTACAGCATGGCAAAAGATTATTAAAACAACTATTTAAATTAAAACTTTATTAAAAGTGTACTTATGTGTGCTAAGAACCATCGTTTCATTAATATTATCTGCAACAGTTGTTAAAAAATATGCTTTTAAGATTTGAAGTACACTACAAGTGCACATTCATTACTACTAGCTGCACTTCTTTTTCACAAGGGAAGCATTTTTTATATAATAAAAACATACACAGTGTACAATTACATATCCACATGTGAAAAGTAATATTCACTCTATGAAAATGATGGTCACAGATAATCACAGTAATTTTATGTTTTCCTTTCCAGGGATTGTGTCCATGAACTTCTCGGACATGTACCGATATTGGCTGACAGAACATTTGCACAGTTTTCTCAGGTAAAAATGTCAATGTACATATCTCATATTTCCTTACATATTCAATCTATATTGTGAAATCTGTTCTCTCAGAACATTGGTCTGGCCTCTCTTGGAGCTTCTGATGAAGATATTGAGAAACTGTCAACAGTGAGTACAAAACATCTTTATCAAACAAGCTTTATCAAACTCTGCTCTACTAAAAGCACTGAATGGGTTTGTTGTGCTGTATGTTTTCAGCTGTACTGGTTCACGGTTGAGTTTGGACTGTGCAAGCAGGGAGGGGCGGTCAAAGCGTACGGTGCAGGACTGCTCTCATCTTATGGCGAGCTGGTGGTAGGCGGCAGTCTGTCATTTATTAAATCAAAAAATGTTTGCTGTTTTTTAGCACTTGCACTTGACATTTAATGTCACCCATTTTCTTAGCATTCTCTCTCAGATGAGCCAGAGCGACGAGAATTTGACCCAGACACTGTAGCTGTTCAGCCGTACCAGGATCAGACTTACCAGCCCGTCTATTTTGTGTCTGAGAGCTTTTCAGATACAACAGAGAAACTGAGGTGAGCTGCATCAAATACTCTATTGCTGTCAGTACTGTGTGTTTGGCCATCAGATAATTAGCTATCATTGAAAATAAATCAATTAAAAAAGTGTTTCTAAATAAATGCATTTATAAATAAATAAATATATAAAAAAAATAAAACACATTGACAAGGATTAAAACACTCACTTATGATAATTATTTACAATTAAATAATTACAACTGTATTTTTTGAAAGTGCTAAAATAAAAATGTATGAGGATAAAAACATATACACAATTACAAAAACACAATTATATTCTCAGAATGAATGAATTTATTTATTAAACTTATAACAGCATACAATTGCATATTCTCATAATGAATGAATAAATGAAAATAATAAAAATTATTCTTAAAAATTTGAGTCAAAACATATGGATTAAAATACATCATGGCTTCTATATATATATATATATATATATATACCAGACACTGTAGCTGTTCAGCCGTACCAGGATCAGACTTACCAGCCCGTCTATTTTGTGTCTGAGAGCTTTTCAGATACAACAGAGAAACTGAGGTGAGCTGCATCAAATACTCTATTGCTGTCAGTACTGTGTGTTTGGCCATCAGATAATTAGCTATCATTGAAAATAAATCAATTAAAAAAGTGTTTCTAAATAAATGCATTTATAAATAAATAAATATATATAAAAAATAAAACACATTGACAAGGATTAAAACACTCACTTATGATAATTATTTACAATTAAATAATTACAACTGTATTTTTTGAAAGTGCTAAAATAAAAATGTATGAGGATAAAAACATATACACAATTACAAAAACACAATTATATTCTCAGAATGAATGAATTTATTTATTAAACTTATAACAGCATACAATTGCATATTCTCATAATGAATGAATAAATGAAAATAATAAAAATTATTCTTAAAAATTTGAGTCAAGATTAAAAGATTAAAATACATCATGGCTTCTATATATATATATATATATATATATATATATATATATATATATATATATATATATATAGCTGCTAGAATAAAAAAATAAAAATAAAAAGGTACTGTTGGCAATTTTGTATAATGTATGTATGATGATTAAAACATACAGCACACAGTTGTTCTCAGACTGAATTAATTCATACATTTATTTATTCATAAAATAAAAGGTGCTAAAATGACTAAAAAGCTACTGTAAGCTATTTTATATAATGGATGTATGATGACAAAAATATATAAATCTGTACAATTACATTCCAAATGAAAAAAAACCCAGAAGTATATACAAAATAAACAAATGCTCGCCAATAAAATAAATGCATTAGCATTTTAGTTTTTCATTATTATTATTTTTTTATTTGATGCATAACATGTTTGTAATAATTTTTTTGTTAAAATATGCAAAAATATGTAGGGGCAATTGTCATTTTTCTGATTAATTTGAAATAGTCTTGTAGTGAGACAAAATATTATTTAATTATTAATTCCATGTAGTCTTTAAATTAATACTAATTGCTTTTATTTAAAATAGTTTTGGAATGCATAAAGCATGTCACACCACAGGACTACATAACTACCTATGTATTTATTTATTTACTAACTCATATTACTCTATTAACATTTTCAGTATGTATTTCACAAAGATTAAAATATGCCTTACAAACACAGCAAGTAGTGATTAATAAATGTTTTTTGTTGTATACATATTGTTTTAATTGTTTGAAATTGAATAATTACAGTTGTTTGTATGACAATAATTATACTCATTTGTTTTTAAAACAGAGCATATGTGACCCGCATCATGAGACCATTTTCGGTGCGGTTTGACCCGTACACAGACAGCATAGAAGTGCTGGACAACCCACTGAAGATCCAGCAGGGGCTGGAGACCATTAAAGACGAACTGAAGATTCTCACAGATGCCCTGAATGTGTTGGCTTGATTCTGCCGCGAGGAGCCAATCAGCTGTCCCATTTCTCTCTGCTTCATATGTGACAGTCTCATCGATATGCTGTGTGTCTATGTCCACATCTGCTGCTACAGACGTTGTTGCTTTTAAAACGCTGAGTGCCAACCTCAAAACCTCACGTCGGAAGTTGATTCCAGAAACCTTAAAAGGACTGTTCCCCCCAAAATGAAAATCATGTTATCATTTATATCATCTATGTTGTTTCAAACCTAAATGACTTTCTTTCTTCTGTGGAACATGAAAGAAGATATTTTGACGAATGCTGGTAAACAGTTTTGATTCCCATTGGAAGTCATATAATGGAAGTCAATGGTAACCAAAACTGCTTGGTTACCAACATTCTTCAAGATATCTTCCATCATGTTCCACGGATGAAAGAAAGTCTTTGGTAAAAATAATAAATGTTGGAAACCAAACAGTTGCGGTTACCATTGACTTTTATTGTATAGACAAAAAATATAGCGAAAGTCAATGGAAGCCGAAACTGTTTGGTTTCCAACATTTTTCAAAATATATTCTTGATAGATATTTTAAATGCTGGTAACCAAACAATTCCCGTTCACTTGCATTGACTTACATTGTATGGACAAAAAAATATAATGAAAGTCAATGGAAACCGAAACGGTTTAGTTGCCAAATTTCTTCCAAATTTATACCAAGAAAATATTTTAAATGTTGGAAACCAAACAGTTTTTATTCTCGCTGATTTCCACCAAATGGACAAAAAAAAAAAGTGGAAGTCAATGGTAACCAAAACCTTTGGTTGCAAACATTCTTCAAAATATCTTCTTGGTAGATATTTTAAATATTGGTATTAAATATTCCCGTTGACTTCCATTATATGGGCTAAATAAACAAATAAATAAATAAATAAAAAGTCAGTGGGTACTGAAACGGTTTGGTTGCCAACCGTCTTCAAAATGTCTTCTTAGTATATATTTTAAATGTTGTTAACCAAACAGTTTTGGTTCCATTAACTTCCACTGTATGGACAAAAATAATAAAAAATGGAAGTCAATGGAAACCAAAACTGTTTGGTTACCAACATTCTTCAAAAAATCTTCTTTCATGTTCCACAGAAGAAAGAAAGTCTTACAGGTTTGGAATGAACATACCCAGTGTAAATCAAGTTATTAAAGCTATTGAAGCCAAAAGTTATTTATGAAATATCACAAAATGAAGTACTACACTAAAATAAACTTGAAATATGTACAGTATAATCAAATATGTATTATCAATACACATTCTGAATGTATTAGTATTCGAAATATATTCTAAAAATAGACCATCAATACACTGAGCTGATGTATTCTCCTACAGATAGCAGAAATATTTTATTAATACTGAATGGCGAACCATTCATAAAATAATTCTGGCCTAATGATTGGTGCCTGTTTATATTTAACTGTCTCCAGAAAATATGAATGTTGCAATAGTCTCTGCAAACAATTGCATAAAAATACCATTTATATTATGTTGCAGGAAAACTGTGTGCAAAGTGGATATTATGTGCTACTATAAAGAATTATGTTTGAAAAATATCGCAAACTATATTTGTGGTTGAATTTCTGACGTTATATTCAGTCGCCCCTTCCATAAATGCCTTTTACAGTCTGAGAATGTTGGTTTCAGAAAACTGAAGACAATCTGAATGAACTGATCTGACTGAAACTACAAAAGGTTTATTTGAGATAAAACAGCCACCACCAGATGGTAGTCTAAGCATGTATGTAGGTGAGGCGTTCAACGAGCACTTTTTGGGTGAGTGGACCGGACAGCATAATGACTAGGGCTTTTGTAAGGGTCATGTCATGAGGTTAGGAATGGGATAAGGACTTTGGATCCAGTCAGTGGGAAAGATCTGCCATTCGAATACGCAAACGACCACTAAATGCATTTTACGAAGATGGGAAGAATCCCACAGTGGAATGTGTCATGTAGTAAATCAGTAGGTGTAGGATATTCCTCTAACTAAGACTGAGATATTCCTGAAGATTGTAGTTTTCATAATTTTGACCATTAAATTGAGGTCACTGAGTTTAAAACAAAAAGCCATTCATGCTAAATATTAGATATTGCTGACTGTAGCCTACATAAAGTCTCCTCAGCTTTTTATCGATGACCTGTAATGATTTGTGCTGGACTGCTTGGACCTGTATCACGTGCAGTTCTATCCATTATTGTGCATGGCAATGTGACTAAGATGAAATATGATTGATTGAAGATAAATGATTTATTGCAAGGCCCTACAGATCTTTTGGGTTTCCTGCATCCCTCATCTGATGGATAATAGGAGACAGAGGAAGAGAGGTTTAATGTCTTTATAATGGTGCTTCCAGTAACAGAGTGCATTGATAATTCATGCCAGCAGCAGGATCCTTTTTTCTATGCAGCGCTATTCGCGCTTTTACCAGCAGAGGCGCCACAGGAGCAATTCTTTTCTCCAGTTCTCTTCATTTCTCACAGACTTCACGATATTTAGCAGCGTTTTGAATATTTAAACACGTTTTATTTGCATTTCACAATACAACCTTTCTGAACGCTGACCTGCACGTATTGTCAGCCATTCTCGTGTTTGGCTTATTTAACTACTTGGCCTACTTATTAACTTCTTGGCTTATTTAGCAGTTTTAACTTAAAAATGGAAAATTAAAATTTCTAGTCCTAAAATGAGTTTTCATTGAATATTCATTGGCCTATCTGAGCACGTACACTGTAAAAAATGTGTAATTTTAACTGTAAAATTTTGTAAAAATGCTACGGAAAAAAACTGTTAATAGGTTAACAGTAAGTTCCCGTATTATATACAGTGAAAAACTGTAAAATATCTAACCAGACATTTCATGTAATTTTACAGTAAAATGCTGTTAATTTTACAGTTTTTAGAAGTAAAAATAACAAATCAATGTATAATTTACAGTCAAAAACTGTAAACTGATATTCCCAGAATTCCCTGTGTGACACTCCACATTTGAAAGTATTTTGTTTAAATAATCATGTTTTTTTTAAGTTTTTGTTATTAGTTATGTATATTTGGGCTTTATGTTACATCTTCTGTTGTTTAATAAAAGTTTAATGGATTATTTAAGTATAATGTGTGTTACCATGATGGTGTTTTGTGTTTGCATGAATGACTCTGTGCACCTTCTATATATTAGTATATACTTCTGCTTGTTTCGAAGCTACTTGTGATGAGCTTTGATTCTTCATGTGGCTTTCTCTTTTACCACCTGCATTATTATGGTGGATGACAGTATGTTAAAAGTAAAAAACAGATTTTAATAGCAGTGTGCATTGTTGAATTTACTGGTTTACAAATGTTCTTGTTTGTAAATTACAGTTTTATAGTGTAAAATGTACAGTTTTTGGCCGTAAATGTGTTTACAGTTTTTCTGTATTTTTACAAAATTATTCTGGCAACCACAGCTGCCAAAATTATTTTGTAAAAACTACAGAATTCTTTTTTACAGTGTAGGCTACTTGCTTAATAACAATAACCTACTTTAATCTTAATTAAATGACATTCAAAACGATAAACAATTCATATGCACGCATTTGTTGATCACATGACAATGCTGATTTAAAACCATTTTAAGAGGTGTTCTAGTAAGGCAGTAGTAGACATTTTGGCCCTGCATTTCATATCAGATGGAGACTAGTGTCCATGAAGAATAACATCTGCATCAAATAATGGCCCTTATTGCTTTGCCAGGTGATGGATGACATTTCCAAGTAATTCAATCAAACCAATTTAAGTTCAATTCAACTCCAGCTAATTCTTCATTATCCTCTCAGTGCTCTGAACGGGTCAGCCTCTAAAGTGAATTACCATCATTACAGCCACTATTCGCGCGAGGATCGATAAGGCAGGTGGATATCAGAGGAAATGACGGCAGAAAGCGTTTCATCTTCTCTCCTTATCATCCGGGGCACTTTCCATTGTAAAATGTTACACATCGTCTGTCCTGTCAGGAACTCTGGTAGGCTAGTTATAAATGCTCTGATATTGGTGTGCGTTTCCGAAATACTGAACTTTTGTTTGTTTTAAATTAGAGTAGGCCTATTTATTATTTTCTTATTTATTTATTGTTTTATTGCACATTTATTTATGAATTGGTTTAGATGTTGTTAATATAATTTGGGGAATAACTATGATTTACATAAACGTCGTTACATTTTAGCAAAGCATCGAAAATGTTGGACATTTTAATAACCCTTACGAAAAAGAAGTTTATTCAAGTGTGCTATTAGTATGCTTCTTTTAAACTAAAAATAGGAAAGTATACTTCGTCTACTTTGTATGTACTTCTCAGAAATACACTTAAAATGATATTTAAGTATACCTGACTTATACTTAGTAAAAGTCTAAATATATTTTAGCTATAATTGTGCTCCTAGAATCCGTGTTTTCATTGTTATACGGTAGGGGGTGCTAGTACACATCTTATACTGTAGGGTGCTCTAGTACACATCTTCTGTACAGAATTTCCAAAAAAAACACAAGTGAAGAAGAAACCGAAACAACAGATGCTTCCACATGTATTCTAACACATCATCAGACATAAAACAGTATCAAAACTGTGTAACATTATGGAATAAAATGTCAACCAATGAAGAGGTAATAATAACTATCAAGCTTCGGGGTGTTGATCGACTTTATCTACGTTTTGATTATCATTCTGAATCCAATTCATAGTCTTTTGTCAGCTTTTTGTTCAAAATGTTGTTTATTTCTTTATTTTTTATTTATGAAACTTATCCACGTTCAAGTGTTTAAAAAAGAATGCATGAAGCTAGAATAAAATGTTTTTGTTTACAAGCAGATACCCTGTTCTTTTGATGTTTTGTATATTCAGATATTCATATAACAAAATATATACAAATTAATACCTAAATAGGGACATAGTAGTATACTTAAAGTATGATGTAAAGTTAACTAAAAGAAAACTTACGAGTATACTTGCAGTATAAAACTACTAAACTAGTACTTTACTGAGACTATACTTCAAAGTGTACTAAAAATGCTACTACAAGTATTTAAATAGTAAACGATCAGTATACCTATAAGTTCACTTTTAGCATAGTTGCAGTACAAACTAAACATTTTGATGTAAACTAGTTGTGTACTCAAAGTTTACTACTGTTATACTTAAATTATACTTAAAAATATACTTTTATATTACTAGAAAGTGGGCCAATTTAGTCCCAAGGAGTATTGAAATAGTACACTTACAAGTATACTACTAGTACACTGATATTTGTATACTTACTACATAAAGTATACTTAAAAATATACTTGAACTATACTTAAGTATACTTGCTAAAATAAACTTGAAGTATACTACTTTTTGGTAAGGGAAGGTGCTATGAAGACATATTCTCTCATGTTCATTGACCTTTTTGTGATCTGGAATTCTTGGAAAACAGCAGCAGGGAACTCGGCCGGACTGCTGGAGATCCACTGACCGCTACGAGTTTTACCTCTCACGGACATGCGCGCCTGAGGGGCGGAGGGGGGTGTTAAGGGGCGGGTTTGGGTATATAATACTTCTCTCAGAGAACTTTTGCCTGTCGCCTGATTTTTGGGACAGCTCCACACATCATCCTAACACCAACTGGGGAAACTAAACCAACCTTCTTAACCAAATACAACAGCACAGCATTTTTTTTTTATTTTAATTTTAATTTAATTTTTTTTATGTTGACATGGAGGACCAACTAAAACATCATTCTGTTTGCCATACCTGCTTGAGAACAGACAGTTCCATAAATAAGGTAAAGACAATCTTTTTACAACCTTTGGGGAATCTTGGACATATCTGGAGATGATTGCATTAGTTACATTCTCTTAAATAGAAAAATAAATAGTTTTTATAGACTAGCAAAAAATAGAATCGTATTTTAAAAATCAGAAATGGACACGATCGGAGAGATTTTGAGACACATTTTCTCTTGCACGAGCGGATCGCGTAATGCAGTGGAGATGTTTTGCCACTCTAAACTGCTAACAGCTCTAAAGCGCTAAACTGCTAAATAAGGACCATAAGGCATTGCAATTTCTTGCATTTCTGTAAAGCTGTTTTGAAACAATGTGTATTTTGAAAAGCGCTTTCCAAATAAAAACTGATTTGACACTTTATTCCGGATACGCACACACGAGAACGAAGTTGCGCAAGGGGGCGACAGCACTTGAAATGAGCTGGATTTAAGGAAATTATATGCTGAGTTGTGAGGAATGAGATAGCTGGGTTTATTGAGCGGTCTTGTAACTTGTTGAACGATGTGTAAGTGTGTAAAGGAGGAGATAAAAGCTCTTTGATAACAATTAATCTTCTAGCGTTAAGCAGATAATTAAAAAGTCGATGCATGCATGTAGAATCCCAGTGAAGAATTGCATTGGCTAATTTAATTCACTGGAGGAACTAATGACAGATACCCAAGGAAGATGTTGAGGATAAATGATCAGCGGGTTTTTAGACCTTAAAGCATCATCTTTTTTAGTGAAAAATTACATGCATAATTGAAAAAGTACAATGTGTTCATACATGCATATTAAGAACTGCATAGGAATGCACTGAAGAAACAAATAACAGTTCTTCAAGATCTGACCAACGACACTGCAATTTAAATTGAAAATGTTCAGTATTACTAATCAAAAGATATTTAGACTCTAAAATCCTTTTATTTGCTGTTAAGACTTACTAGAAAAACATGCATGCACAAATAATGCATTCAATACTTTGATAAAATCTCTGTTGTGAACTACTATGCATGCTTTCCAGGTCATGAAGACATGCTTTTCCATACTGTACATTGACATACTGATTTTGCCAATGTGATCAAGCAGATAATTGAATAGTCGATGGCCATGCATGCACACACACTGAAGTACTGCCTTACTGAATTCAATGCCTTGAGGAAGCTAAAAATATTTCCTTAAGGATGACGTTCAGTTTTACAGTACGTTCAGGTATACATGGGATCTTTATAAAAAGAGCAGCTTTGTACATTAAAAACAAAATGCACATGTTAAAATGGTCTGTACTAACTTTAACTCGTTATCTCCACAGGCCATAAAGATGTACTGGTCCATACGGATGCCCATATGCATATTGTTTTTAACCCTGTTTGCCTTCGAAGTGGCTTCAGCTGAAACATTATGTGGAGGAGAGCTGGTGGACGCACTACAGTTTGTGTGTGGAGAAAGAGGTTTCTATTTCAGTATGTACATTTGCACATCGTATTTTCTTTGCTTTTGCTTAGGAGTTGGAAACCCTTAGAGTTACGAGCGAAGTCTCGGCAGATTGTGCTGACTAGGCGCATTCTCTCGCGATATCTGTGATTGCATATGAAAGGGATGCTAAATGAGCCACAATGGCCTGGTTGTTTACTTGCACATTCCGCCAGGGAAAGTAATAGTACCCAAGTGGCATTCCATTCACCTCTCCAGAAATGTTCCCAGGCTACACTCAATTGAAAAAAAAGTTGTTTGTCCTCTTACACGGCTGGATGGATTGAGACAGCTTCATTACTAGTTTAGCGTAACAGATGCTAACCAATACGTTCAATACAATGCTTGCCGATCGTACAATCTGAATCCAGATACATCTGCTGGTTGTACACCACTCAAATGCAAGGAGGGGGTCGAGAGCACAACTTTTTAAATATTTGTCATCTTCCTCATGCCAACATTGACAAACAGACAAGGCCTTTGTGTTCTTTTGGCCGCAGAAGCCTAACTACCCAGAAAGATCATTATCCAATTTGGGCCAGCGCAGATTTCCCCCCCTCTATCCACTAGATCCTCTCTTGTTCAATGTTTCCCATTCTACAATCAAGAACTCCCTTTCAGAACGTTGCGACTGTGAGAAGAGAAAATCGTTTGCTGTATATTTAACTGAAAATCAATTGTTCCTTCCTTTACCCAGCCCGGCTCCCTCCCCTCCATTACTGTGTCCTGTATCTTTGCTCTTTCATGCCAAGTCTGTTATTCTACCCCTCCCCCTTCCCCTCTTTCATGCTCTCTTTATCTCTGCTGAGCTGGCAAAGGACAAGGTCAAAGGATATCCACCATTTACTCATCCAAACAGAAGCGAAGACTTTTGCCCTTTAACTCTCATGCTGTCTTATTTGTAGGCTTTCGATCTTCCGATACTGGGAACGTGTTGCCGGCGCATTCTTCGAAAACCATTTCGAACAGCTCAATTACATGGCATAACAAAATCAGTCCGGGCGAGAAAACAAATAAACAGACTCCATTTTATGCCACAGATTTGGGCTTTATTATACACCGCAGTCCCAGTCAATGAATCGATAATGAAATCTGCATTGACAATAGAATCAGGCCACTGTAGCTTGATTTACAATGACTTGTTAGTAGGGTTTGTTTTGAACGTGTTTGCATGTTTGATGGTGACTGTTTAGACAGTTTGAACCAAATCTCTTTCTTGCTATAACAGCTCAAACTAGCTGGTTTCCTAGTCTTAACTGGGTTAAGATGGTCAGATGGTCTATTTTGATGTTTTCGGTATTAGTTTTTAAAAAATGTTTTCCACTTTTCAGTCATGCTGGATGTCTAGTTGGACACGCAGATAAACGCCACTTTGGCCGGGCTTGGAGACTAGCTTAAAACAGGAATAACTAGCAAAGCAGCTTAAAGTTGTTTACCCACGATTTTCCAGTAGAGTTATCTGGTAAGACAGCTGTTCTCCGAACTTGACTAGTTGACAAAAGCCCCAAACCCATCTAAACCATCATCTGACCCATCCGTCTAAATCATCACCCAGGCTGGGAGGCTAGCAAACCAGTTTAAAATGATAGTTCACCCAAAAGAAGAAAAATCTGTCAACATTTACTCACCCTCATGTCCTTCCAAAGCTGTATATCTTTTTTTTCTGTGGAACTTTCCATGCAACAGAAGTCAGTGGAGTCCAAAACAGCATTAGGCCCCAGTGACTTTCATTGCATGGACAAAATAATGGTTTGGAATGCAGGTTTGGAATGAGAGTGAGTAAATGACGACAGAATTGAGTAAATTTGTCTGACATGTAACCAAAACAGTACTAAAGTGTCTTGAACTCATTGTTTTCCTTTGTATCCCCGCAGGTCGACCAACTAGCAGGTCGAATAGTCGACGTTCTCAAAATCGTGGGATTGTGGAAGAGTGTTGTTTTAACAGTTGTAACCTAGCTCTTCTAGAACAGTACTGCGCTAAACCTGTCAAGTCAGAGAGGGACGTTTCAGCCACATGCCTACAGGCCATCCCGGTGATCCCTGCATTAAAACAGGTACGTTAGCCATGGGAAACAACAAAAACTCTCCAGCACTTCATCACACTCACCATCTTGATCGTCCTGTTCTTTGTGCTGAACTTGTGCATCCTAGCATGTGGGTTAAAGAAAACAGTAGGCCAGAGTATGGAACTAGTAAGCAAGTATTGCCCCAAAACTGCTGACCAAGTGGAAAATGATATGATAGAAGAGGTCATACATAGGTTGAAATTTTCCTGTACTTGGATTGGGTTACAAAACCAGCATCTCTCAAAATGGCCTGGATGTTGACTAGGTGGTTGAACATTGGGGACAAATGGAACTGCCTTTATCTCTTTACTTTTGTCATTCTCCATTTTGGGTTTTCATCAAGTTTTTGTTCTATGTTAGTATGTTTAATATGTTTAAGAGATAGTTTGCCTAAAATTCATCATTTCCTCACCGTCATGTCCTTCCAACCCTTGACTTTCTTATGCGAAATACAAAAGAAGGTATTTTGAAGAATTTTTCAACAGTTTTTGTCCATACAAAGAAAGTAAATAGGGTCCAAAACAACAATGCACCCCACTGACTTTCACTGTATGGACTAAAAAAACAAGGAGATTATTTGGTAGGGTGACTAAATGATGAAATAATTTTAATTTTTGGATGAACTAACCCTTTAAGGAAGATGAGAATTGGGCAAGACAATTTCTCAGGGTGTGGTCTTGGTGGTTGAAGGAATTTTGGCTATTTTTGACAAATTATCTGTAAAGCCATTTACATTATTAGTCGAAAGTCTTAGTCTTAGAGAGTTTTAAGAAGTTTAAGTTTTAGAGAGTTTTGAATCTCATCAGTGCTTTCGATGATGCTGTAGAAACTGTGATAATTTTGACCTTTCTCTAGAGTAATTTCCTAATGTTATTATTATTTTGAAACAGGAGGTCCCAAGAAAACACGTGACCGTGAAATATTCCAAATACGACGTGTGGCAACGAAAGGCCGCCCATAGGCTACGGAGGGGTGTCCCCGCCATCCTGCGGGCCAAGAAGTTTAGGCGGCAGGCGGAGAGAATCAGGGCCCAGGAGCAACTGCACCACCACAGGCCTCTCATCACGCTTCCCAGCAAGCTGCCGCCCATCCTTCATCTGACAGAAGACTACGTCAGCCACAAGTGAAACCAGGATCATTTGCACGGAGTCGATGAAAAAAAGATTAGGGGATCAAAGCTTTTTTGTCTCTGACGTCCTTTCTGTAGCAGTCCTCAACAACCCTTCTTCCTTCCCCACCAGTCGTGCTCACACACTCTTCCAGTTTCTATTCTTGCTGTTTCGTTCACCAACAAAAAGTCACATCACAAACGAAAGGAACGCAATTCAGGTGAAGAAGCAAAGAAGAAGCCACGGAACGCCAAACGTTTCGCCGGTTTGGAGGACATCGGAGCGCGAGGAACAGCTTGAGCTAGCATTAAAGAACCCATTCCACCGCATTCTCCCGAGACAAAAGTATCTCTCTTTTAGTCCTTTTACATATTAGTTTGAACCTATAACTATAAAGGGACATCCACACTGTAAGGAATTGTTGTAAAATTAGATTCCTGTTCCAGCACCTTGTAATCACAAATGTAAAGCAGAGAAGAGTCTGCAAATTGCACATCGCCACGGATTACGTCAAAGTTCTTGTTAAGTAAATAAAAAAGGCACTATTTTTTTATGGACTATGAACGTGTAGCTCAAAAAAATGTCATGGTGCTAGCTTTGGGAACGGACTCAAAGGAGAAGGGGTTGAAAAAGCGCGTTTTTTTTTTTCCCTTTGAAACTTTATTAAACTTTCCGTTTTAAGGAAAGTGTGACTTTTGAAAGAGAAAACAAGAGCACAAGGGATATCGCTGCATGCAAACGTGTACATAAGACGCAACGTATGCATTGGGTCCTGGCACTGCCGTTGCGATAAATGAAGGAGCAGTGTGGGGACGCAGAAGGGATCACGTTCGAGCGCCGGGATGTGGAGAACTCGCCTCCTTTCGAGCGTGGCTGCACAAAACCCCTGCTTTGCACTGCAGGATGAGGGACATTGTGATCTTGAAAAAGTGGGATGTTTGTATTTTCTATGTTCTTTTTCGTGAAAATGCTTCAAGGAAACAAGGAAAGAAAAAAAAAAAAGATCCAGTTTGGTTTCTGGTACCGTGACATTCTTGTTGTTGCAAAATAGGCTTTGTGTTTTTGTAACGTTATTTTACAGTTCTGAAAAAAAGGCACAAATATCAATTCAAAGGGAAAAAACGCAATAATGTCAACTAACATATATTTTTAACGTTTATCCGTAGTATTCACATGCTTTTGCCTGAAAACAAATACTTGAATATATATATATATATATATAAATATATGAAATAAATATGAAAATATATATTATAATTAGTTTCCAGGGACATCATGTAATATTCTTTTAGTCTGAGCTGTATCTTGCGTAATGAGCCGCCAAGCTTCTTTTTGTTTGTTTGTTTAAGTACAAATATGGGCACTGTATAAAGGCATTATTTATTTTGTTGTAAAATTATATATTAAAATCGGTCCAAATACAGTAATATACATAGCACTGATGCTCAACTGATGGATTTTATTTTATATGCTCTCTTATTTTCCCATTTTACATGTAAATGCTTTTTGTAGATGCTTTGTACCAAAAAAACAATGTTTTCCTTTTTTTCCTTTCGGTTCGCCACAGAGCTATTTTAAAATCAATATTTTAACAGCAGCTGTAGCCTGGATAGCTTAGACTTGTTGTTATGCAAAAATAGGCACATACTCAGAAGACTCTCTCTCTTTCTCTTCCTCCTGCATGGCTTTTTAATCTGCCAAATGGATTTCTGTTTATAAAAAAAACAAAAACAACTAGAAAAAAAACCTTGTGTTTAACTTTCCTCACGAGGATCTAGATAACCCGGTCTCTATATGCCGTGATTGTATACAACCCACTACAGTTTAAACCACTTTAGTGCCGTTTTCATTGTCGTATCGTCATTTTTTTGGCTCTCTAAGGTATTCCACAAAAGAAAGCCATGTTTTAGGGGTCGAGAAGAGCCTGCAAGAAGATGGAGGTGTTGTCCCTGGTTCAATGTTATCTCCTTTTGCTAAATGAGCAAAAAGTAAAACATAAAGCAAAGTAAAAACCAAACCAATATGATTGTCACCCAGATCCATTATGATGTCACAAAGAGACTGTTTATACATCCCCTCAGTCTCGCCATCTTACAATAATGTGCCCTAAATCCTCTTATTTCCTTTCGGTTGGGGTGTCCTCCATGTATCTTCATCTCAGTTGTCGAAGGGCTACCGTACTTAGTTACCCAAATGCTCAGGAAATATTAGTGGATTTATGTGAAAAACCCAATACAAGGCCTTTTTTTTTGTTGCAGTTTCTCAGCCAAGCACAAGAAGTCAGTATCGTTTCTTGTATGTGCCCCATCTTTAAGGTCATTAAATGATACTATAGTATCGCTTAGTACCTGGAAACTTAAAGGTCTAAGTGCCTGCAGTGTATCCCTCTGCCTTGATAATCCAGTATTTATCTGATTCATATCAGTTGTGATGAAGCAGTGCAATTATTATAATTACTATCATTATTTTTATTATTCAATCATCCCATATTTCCGAAGACATCGCCATTTTTCTGTTGTTATTCCTGCAAGGACTGCATCCATTGTTGTTATTTCCAAACTGGTTACTTAACTTTCCGTGCATAAAAAGGCATGTAAGGAAAACACATGCTTTTGCGCTAAAAATGAATGGATCATTTGTCTTTCATTGGCAATGGTTTAATATCAGGAGCCCATGCAGCCTTTGTGTATTTTAATTGATTTAACCTCTGCACGCTAGAATGTCCGAAATGCACAATTCATGTACTTTCATTTTTAATATCAATAAAAAACATTTTATCAAACATGTTTCAGTCATGTGCAAGTGTATGAGTTTTTACTGCCGGGTTGCATTGTAAATCATTTAGTAGATGTTGAGGCTACCATTTAGACATCATGACTTCGTCCTGCAAAGGTGCAATAATCCGTGATAAGCAAAGCAGCTTTAATAGATCTTTATTGCACAAATCATTTATTATACTAAATGTAAAGGACTATTTCACCTGAGACAGATAGTTCTGTCATTATTTACTCACCCTCATGTGTCATTCCAAACCCGTATGCTTTTATTTTTTCCATGCTACACAAACATGCAAAGTCACTTTCAAACCAAGCAGCTTTCTGTTGGTTAAAACCAACTGATCCGTATGTGAAATCTGTGTAGGGAAATCTTTTGACGAAATTCCAGATCACATGGATTCCTCTTGAAATGGTTGGATTTCACCTGTGAAAATTCACCACATGACAGCTCTTAAAGATGTTATTGCTTTTGTGTGCCACATAAAAAATAATGTAAAAAAATTGAATGACAGAAAGGGGAGTAAATAATATTGTGCTGCAGGTATTTTTTGTAGGCAAAGCCTGAAAATGAGTTTGCATTTTAGCACTTCCGGTTCCATCAATATGAAGTCAATGGGTTTTTTAATTGGTTTTTGGTTAAATAAGTGGCTAAATGGGACTACAGAGTTTGTTCAACACAACGGATAAGTAAACTCATCTTCTAACTAGTCGCTAGTCATTTTACAGCTTATTGTGTTTAGAATCACGCTCTTGCAAGCTATTCTAAATTCTAAAATGTTTTTTTTTTTTTTTTTTAATAAAGTCAAGTCAAGTCAAGTCACCTTTATTTATATAGCGCTTTTAACAATACAGATTGTGTCAAAGCAACTGAACAGCATTAATTAGCAAAATAGTGTCAATGGGGCTCTCGTCACCCTTCAGGATCGCGGGTATCTGTGCAGAAACATCGAGAACACGAGCACCAGGGAAACAGTGAGTGTGCACCTTACCTTCAGCTAACGTAGCACGGACGTGCCGGACGATGGAGTCTCCGATGATCACAGCGTCGCGTTCCGTCTCGTGGAGGGGAGCGAAGCGGTTCCGGGTGGAGATCTCGAAAAGACCGGAGGCGGCGGAGGGGGAGAGGTCATATTAAAGCAAGTAACAGTGAATAGTGTATTAGTAATGTAAGCGAGATTAGCAGCAACCACGCTGGCGATGCTAGCGGGCTATATGCTAATAGCTGACTCGGAAAGTAAAAAATAGAACTAGTGATAACAAGGCGCTCTGATTGTTTTTGTTGTAGAATACGATAGGGGATATATTCAAACGTTATAGAACTGAAAAAGGATGGTGTATAAAATTGATTTTAAGATAAAAAATTAGACGACAAAGAATTAACTTGACGGAGCTCAAACTCAAACCACACGGCAGCAACAAACAGGAAGTGACGTGTTCAGTCCGGCACAGGTTGTCAGTCCTGAAAGCCTGAAAGAGTTGTTGGAAGCTTAAAGTCAACATGAATTGGAAGTTGCTACTAACTTTGTTTCACTATTGTGACATATTTTCAACTGAAAGGGAATACTGAATCATCAATATGATGATCATTGAGTCATCAGAGAATAAACGCCATTACAGAGCAGAGACACATTTTCTGATTTTGATTATTAACAAGGAAATTTATTTATTTTAAATTTTTTTTTTTTTTTTTTGTCTGTGTATTAACTAGACTAGCAATATGCGCTTACAACGTAATTGTGGATATTAAGTGTGGATATTAATGGTGGTCACAGAGCTCATTTTCTCTAATATTCCAAAAACCAATGTTAAAATCCTATTAAGTTTTTGTAGAGGAACCAGGATGATGAAAACTTCCGGGTTGACCCACCAAAATATGTCATCAATGCAGTGATCTATAATATTGTCTGAACTACCCCTTTAAGATGAGGAATGGCCACTGACAGGACAGATACCACACCACACTTTTTATATTACTTTATTATTATTTACTTATTTATATTTAAATTAACTTTAGATGTCTTGCTTGCTAACTTACACATTAGTGAGAGAAGTAGAAGTGGCATGAAAAACGGTGAGTTAAGTAGCAGGTGATTTTAAGGTGCAATATTCTTTTAAGATGAATCAGCTTTCATTCGTGTAATCCCGCTGTCTCTTTGCACGGCACTTTTCTGCAGTCGGCCGTCTGCAGTCGGTCCAGAACAGCTGACTAAGGAGTTCAAGCGCTTCCTTGAAGCCTTTTAGATTCCTTTTAGCTATTCCTTTTAGATTCCTTTTAGCTCTGTGCGTTACATTAACGCACAGAGCACTAGTGTGTGACAGATCAACCAGTGAACCATGGTGGTAGACAACCTAGCGTGTGTCAGTGTCGTGAGTACTTGTGTCTATAACATGCCATAATGATGGCAGCACTCGATAAATCCCCTCAAGGCTCCACATGAATGTCGTTACAGGATGAGAGAAAACTTTAAATGTTGCAAGACGTTAACCTGCTTGTTTAATTTAGTGCAGTGTGGGGGTTTAAATATTAACAGCCATTCCATTTCACTGCAATAAATTTCAATTGGATAACAGTGTCTTTACAACATGAATGAATATTTCAAAAAGCTTATCAAGATCACGTGAGCCTGTACTCAGTGAACCTTTGAGTGGCTGGTAATACATTTCTCATAATTTTCCATCATGTTAACATAAAACACATCAAGGCAATTACATACCACTTTTTATCTCACAATCCTCACTTTTTTCTCACAATTGCGAGTTTACATGTTGCAGTTCTGACTTTTTAATAAAAATATATAAACTCGCAATTATGAGGAAAAAAAGTCAGAATTGCGAGTTTATATCTTTATATATGGGATGGTTGCCAGGATGTAACTAGATGGTTGCTAAGTAGTTTCATTAGGTGGTTGCCAAGGTTTTGCTATGCTAATAAGTTGTTAGCCTGTTGTTATGTGTTTCTAGGTTTGTCCAAGGGGGTTGCTATGTTTTTGTAATGGTGTTACCACTAGGCAGTTGCTAGTGTGTTTCTAGGTGTTTGGATTTTGCTAGGTGTTGCTATGAAGTTGTTGGTTTATTAGTAGTTCCCCTTCAGGAACTCGAGCTGCGTCGAAAAATGCTTTGGGATCACCATCAGCGTGACCACGCTCTGAATCACATGTAAAATCAGTCCAATGGAAGGGCGAGATGTCACAGGCGGGTGACGTAGAGGCCAGGAAGCTATAAAAGCACGTGCGGTGGAACCGGCGTCAGCTTTCTGTCATTCAGCAAGAGCTCTGTGTGTGTGTCAGTTGCTATTTGTTATGAGTTTTATTTAGTGTTGTTTGTCCACTTATAAGCTCAATTATGTCAAAGCTTCAGCCAAGAAGAAGCATTTGGGCGAGAGCAGGCACCATTCAGGCTGTGTGTTCCTCCCTGCCTGTGCTATATTTCGGGTGGGGACACACACAGTTTGTGTGTTGTCTGCTTGGGAGCGAAGCACGCAGAGTCAGTTCTCGAGGGAGTTGACTGCCCATATTGCGAGCATTTGTTACTGCGTATGCTTCGCTCTCGGAAGGCTCTCTTTGAGGAGGGAGCCTTCACCAGCGTTCCTCGCGGTGCCGGCCCCGCTTTCGTCGAGGTGGTGCGGCGGCTGTGCTCGTGGGGTTCGCATATGATCCAGAGCTCACTCTCAGAGTTCTTCCCCCCAGGGAGAGGGCTCAACACTCTGCCTGTCTTCCTCCTCCGAGGTTGATGGGAGGGCTATGATGAGCTCGCC